ACCATCAAACGAATAAGTAGAGTCTTCATTAAAAACGTAATAATAATGAATATATATAAAAACATTAAGTGTATTAATGTATAAATATATATATATATATATATATATATAAATATATATTAAGATAAATATTTTATAATAAAATCATTTAATAATTACAAATGTTTTTTTATTTAAAATAAAGTATAACAGGTTTATTAGAATAAAGATAAAAAGACATATAATTTCGTTCCGAGTCATTTGAAAAAATGAAAAAATTATCAAATGAGAACGTATTATTTTAACAAAACATAGAAAAACTATAAGCAAAAATAAAATAAATATAAACTGAAAATGAATAAATTATACACAAAAGTAAACTTTAAGAAAAAGAATTAAAAGAAGAAAAAGAAAAGATATCTTAATAATTAAAAGAACTTAATTTATAATATAAATAAATGGTAGGAAGGGAAAATTAATTCAATAATAATTTTAGAAAAAAAGACGCAGAAATTAAAGCACTTTAAGATGCATTAAAAAAACTTTAATTAGACAAAAATTCTGTTAATGTCTTAAATTCATTCGAAATTTTAAATAAACTTGATAAACAAGGCCCTTCTATATATGCATTAAACTCCGATCATGAATTTTCCCATTTAGTAGCTTAAGAAAACGAAGAAATAAGAGCCAAATTAATCAAAGAAAATGAATTTTTGAAATAAAGTTTACAAACATTGCACTAAGAACTATAAGAAATAATAAATGTAAGGCGAGAAATATATATTAGACGTTGCAAAATCGAACAAGGAGATGACTTTTTAGATTCTGAAAATCAAAATTACTCAGAATTAAATGATATCAACCTTATATAATTTAAAAAAGAGCTCTTTTTAATGCCTGTAGACCCTATAGGTAAGGAAGTAATAGAAATATTAGGTGAAAACATAAGAAGATTTAAAAATTTCATGAATAAACTTGATAATATAGAAAAAGATGGGATAGAAATTGGATTCACTTCACTTGAAAATGATAAAGAAATCGAAAAAATTGGATGTTTAAAAAATATGAAAAATTTAATATGTAAACAAATAAATAAATAATATAAATAAATATAATATAAAATTAAATATATAAAAAATAAAAAAATAATTGTTTTATATATAATATATATATATTTATAAATATATAATATTTTTTTTATTTAGCAAATTATAAATATGTTATTGAAGCTTAAGATACATTAATTAATAAAGCTATTGCTAAATCTAAAAATGTAGAAAATATTAACGAACATAATTTCTAAATTTCTAAATTTACAAAGATTTTAGATGATTAAGAGTATTTTTATTTTATATTTTTTTTTAAATAATTTATAAATAAAAAGAATTGAAAATGCTAAATAATATTTAGTTTAATAAAAAAAATTTCTTGAAGATAAATAATAAGAAATGGTATTTATTTTTCTTTTATAATAAAAATTTTAATTCAAATTTATTTATTTATTTTAAAATAATTAAACAGGAAAAAACTAAATTTATGATGAATTAAACTGTTTAAAAACTAAGCGAAGCTAAATCTAATATGAAAGTATATTTAAATATACAACTTATTTATAATAATATATAATTTTTGTTTGTTTAACATATATATAACCAAAAAAATAGTTAAAAAGAATGGAATTAGATAAAGAAGCCGAAGTTTTCAAAGAAAATATAAACAATGTTATTAATTCTTCTTTAAATATATTCGAGGATTTAAAAGCCTAAAATTTTAATTTATAAAGCCTTAATTAAAGTGAATAAAAATAATTGTATAATTAAAACAAATAATTTTATGAAATGAATAATATGAATTGAATTATCTATAAATATATAATATTCATTTTTATTTTTAATAAATTTTATAAATGTACTATTAATAGTTTATTTTCTTTCTATTGAATTAAATATATATTTTTTTTCTATTTTAATTTTTTTGCTTTTTTATTTATTTTTTTTTAAAAAAAAATATTTTAAAAATATATTTTTTTCTCAATATAATAAAATTTAACAAAATAATAAATAAAATTTCAACAAAAAAAATAAAAAAATAAAAAATAGAAAAAATAGCATTAAATTCTAAAAATAAATATATTAAATATTACCTTATTAATTCAAAAAAACCAAAAACTTTCAATATTCAGAAAAAATAAAATATAAAATAATAAAATAATGTAAGATTACTCAGAATAAAATGAGAACGACGAAATATTAAAACTATACGAAGAATATATAAAAACCAACAAAAGAACATAATTACATACTAAATCAACAGTAAATTGGTTAAAAAAACGATTTCCAAAGAATAAACTAAAACATTATTTATTATTTCCGGAAGAATTAGCCCAAGACATCAAAATTCGAAAAATTTTTTAAATTTTCGACACAGATCGTTCCGGTACATTAGATTTAGATGAAATGGTTAAAATGTTTTTAAAGTAAAAAAAATATATATATATAAAAAAAAAAAAAACGCTTAAAAAAAAAAAAAAAAAGATTCAATATAGAAATAAAAAACAATGAATTAGATAAAATGTATAAAATAGCAGATTAAAACAAAGATAATGCATTAAATTATAAAGAGTTTAAAGAATGTGCTGTTTCTTAATAAGTAAATAATGTATTTTCCGAAATAATGCGAAATGTTCGAAAACAAGAAGAAATATCAAAAAATGAAGAAAATAGGAATATTTATTTACCCACAACATTTTAAGATATGATAACATATTTAAGTTATAGAATAAGTAGGACAGGTTTAGAGTCTTTTTTAGGCGAAAAAAGTAATTAAATAAACGAAAGATATGAGAACTTTTTAAAGTTAATTCGTTTAGATGGACTTGATACTGGTTTAGCATAAAAAAACTAAAATTTAAAAAATGAGTTAAATTAAATCGAAAAAGCAAATAATCTCGAACATGATATTTTTAATCGTGAATAAATATCTTCTAATGAATCTTTATAAGAGTCTTAATAAATTTAATAAACTTAAATACATTTTCATAATGATTTAAAAATAAATACATTAAAAACATAAAAAAATTCAAACAAAGACATCAATGAGAATTATTACTTGAAAAATAATAATAAATTACTATCTGCTCGAAACTCAAAGTTTATAAGTAATAAAAGTATAAATAATATAAATAGAATATCAAATGAATACTAAATTAATAAATAAGAGACTGTAATTGACTTTTAAAATGATTAAGAAATTAAAAGCATCTTATAATAGGCCTAATAAAATGGAATGAATTCTGCATAATAAATGGTTTCTAATGTAAAATCTTAATTTGGAGACTTTTAAAATTTTAAAAAGTAGTTTTATGTAAAAAAAAACTTTAGGAAAAAAAAATAGGAATAAACACAATATAATACAACAAGTAATATTAAATATTCAAACGATGAAAAAACTCTGTCTAATTTTTCATTAAGTAGAAAATAAATATAAGATAAAAAATTAGTATATAAAGAAAATAATGTAATTTAAAATAACATGCTTAAAAAGTTAACTAATGTTATGAACTAAAACGTTAAAAATTTAAAAAAATAAATGTGTTTAGAAAATTATCTAATAATAAATAAAAATAGTAATAATAATAATAATAATAATAATAATAATAATAATAATAAGTAAAATATATAATATGAAAATATTTAAAATTAAAATAAAGTTAATTTTAAAAAAACATTTTCAACTTAAAAAGATTAGTATATTAAAGATATTAAATAAGATATTTATTATACTATTTTAAATAAAAAAAATTTAAATAATTCCAAAAGTAATTTTATTAAAATTAAAAATTTAAACTTCTTAAAAAATGTTTCTATTTATGATTCTTTTAAAAAAGGTTAGTATTCTTTATGTTCTAGATAATATTAAAATGATAGTTATACTAAAAACAAGTAAATTATTGATTAAAATTTTGTTAAAAATAATGATTATTTTAATAAATTAATTTGAATTTTTATTGAAATATATTTTTTTATATAATATAAATAATAATTATAATCAATTAGATTTTAAAAATATTTTTTTAAGATATCATAAAAAATAATTATTATCATTATTAATTACTTTAATTATAAAAATACAAATAATCAAAAATTATTTATATTAAAAAATGAATATATTTTTTTATAATTTTCATAATAATAATTTAAAAAAAAAATATAAAAAACATTAAGAATATATATAAAAATATAATATATAAATATATAAATATTTAAAAAATATATATTTTTATATATATTTATATATTTTTATATATTTTTTATATATATATTTATTTAAATATTGTTTTTTATTAAATATTTATTTGTTTAATTACTTTAAAAAAGAAAAGATAAAGATAAATTAATTTAATTAAAGAAAAATATAATATAAAAAAAAAAAAAAATATAAAAAAAAAATATTAATAAAAAATAGTTTTTATTTATAAATAAGATATAAATAAATAATTAAATAATAAAAATGGATTAAATTATTGATAAATTAAAATCTGAAGGAATAATAGATATTTCTTAATTACCGGAAGACATATTTTAATTTTTAGGTTAATGTTCTGTAAGAGAAATATCATTAGAAAATTGGAATAAAATAGCAGTAAATAAATAAAAATAACAAATATACATTAAATATAAAAAAGATTGCATTTTATGAAAAAGGATAAAACGAAAAATTCTAAAATATAATACATTATATTTATAGTATAGAAATGGAAAAATAAATTCATTAAGATTCCGTTGGAAAAAACCACTAAAGAAATATTAATAATACTAAGATTTGTTATTTATTAGCAAAAGCAAGCAAAGAAGAAAGCCTTGAATAAAGAAACTAATATTTCCAATAAGCAATTTAAACTTTAAATACATCTAAAATAAAAGAAAACAAGGCTTTAAACTATTGTATTCAAGGTTTTATTTCATTTTATAAAAGTTAAGCATTTGAAATTACATAAAAAACATTATAAAATGCATGCATAAATGATAAAAATAGAGTTATATCAATATTAGGATAAGTAATATACATATATAAAAAAAAATTATTTATTAATAAAAAAGGCTTAATTATATTTCTATTAAAAAAATTATGAATAATCATTAAAATTTTTCAAAGAAGCGCTTTAAAAAAATCCAAGATTACCAGGAAGAGCAAGATTAGGATTAGGATATTGCTTTTATATGTTAAAAAAATATGAATTGTCTAAAAGAGCTTTTTAAAGAGTTTTGTAATTAGTAAAAATATATATAAATAAATAAATATGTACATATATATATATATATATATATTTAATTATTATATATATTTATTTATATATTCATATATATTAGGATTCTTAAGTTTTCGAATCTCATTTAGGATTAGCAATATTAGCTTATAAAAGAAAAGATTATTAAGGTTACTAAGATCATTTGAATAAAGCATTTTAAATAAATCCTAATAATCCTTTAGTTCTTTATTATATTGCTGAATTTTATTATTTATAATAAGATAGTGATAGTGTAATTTTTTTTATATAAATTAATTTTTAATTTTAGTGTTTTAAAAAAGGTTTAAAAAATCGCTATTTAAGCTATATAAAATTTAAATATGTTACCAAAAATAATAAATGAGCAAGAAAAGACAAAAGTTGGTAAAAGAGCATATAGATTTGATTTTTTTGATTTAAAATCAAGATTATATTTTATGATTGGAAATACATTACACAAAGAAGTATATAATAAATAAAATATATAAATAATAAAAAAAGGGAAAATTAGAATAAGCCTCGAAATTTTACGAATAATCAATCATAGCAAATAAAAACAATATATAAGCAAATTTTAACCTATCTTAAATTTAAATACACAACGTAAAAAAAAAAAAAAAAAAAAAAAAAGAATAACCAATAAAAAAAAAAAAAGTAATAATATGATTAAGCATTCAAAAGACTCGAAGAAATCCGTAGTCAATGTTTTGAAAATGATAAAGAGTTAATATTAGAAACCTATAAACATTTAGCTTATTTATAATCCAAATGTGCTTTAGGTCAAACAAAACTATCCCAATAATATGAATACTATAAAAAGGCTTTATAATATAATCCTAAAGATACCGAATCAATGTTAGAATGTGCAAATCATTTAACAGATACTGATTAAAGAGAGTCATTAAAATATTTCGAAAATGCATTAGAAATACTGAAAGAAAAAGGCGAAAAAATACTTCCCGAATTATATAATAATATAGGTGTTTTGAGACTTTCATTGAACTAATTTGAAGGGGCAAAAGAGGCTTTTGGTAAGGCCTTGGATTTAGCAAATATAGATATTATAAGTAATGAGGACGAAAAATAAAATTAAAAGTTTTTTATGTACGGTTAAATTCAATTTGGCTTGTATGCATGAATAAATGTAAAACTTTGAATAATCTAATGAGTTATATGAGGAAGTACTTGAATTATGTTAATATTATTTAGATTCATATGTTAATTTGGCTAATATTTAACATTAATTAGGAAATTATTAATAAGCTGTACTTTTATGCGAATAAGGCTTATAAAAAAAAGAAGAATCGAAAAATAATTTAATAAGACCAGATTTACTTTTATGTTTAAAAGGATATATCTAATATAAATTTGAAGATGATATTAATTCAAAAGAATCTCTAAATTAAATTAAAAAATTTAATATTAATGATTCATATTCTAGGCTTTTTTACTTATATATAGAATATGAATAAATTATAGAAAAAAGAGATCATGCAGAATTTTAAAGTAGAAATAATATAATATATATATATATATATATATATATCTATATTTATATATATATATTAATATATTATATTTTTATTAACTTTGTATCAAATACATTTGAAAATATTATATTTTTTAGAACGATTAATGATAATTGCCGAAAAAACTAAATCTATATTAGAAATGGATAATTCTAATTTATAAGCTTTATTAACATTAGGTATTATTTTAGCAGAAAACGGTTAATTAAATGGTGCGAAAGAAATATTTAACGTATTGAAAGAGTTCGTAAAATAAATTTCCAATATTCTTTTTAATTTAGGATAATTGGAATATTTAGAAGGAAATTATGAATAAGCAATAATTCTATATAAAAAATATTAAGAAAAATAGCAAATACATAATGAAGAATATTTATTTACATAAATAGCTTTGACCTATTGTTAATTAAAATAATACCAAAAAGCTAAATAAAGTATGAAAAAACTCATTTTAAGAGAACCTTCTTCTGTTTTGCATAGATATAATTATTTTATGATATTAATAAAAGAAGCTGAAGAAATAATGAAAAGTGAAAATTCTCATGTAGAAGATAAAGAATAGTCATTGTATTTATGTATAAGAGCAAAAGAGTTTTTGGACTATTTAAAAAATGATACTAAATGTAGAAAAACTAGATATTAAAATCATTTTAGTAATAGTGTTAAATAAAAAAAAGGAGATTAATTTAATGCTTTATTAGAATAATGTGAAGGAAAAAAATTAATGCTAGAAACTAATATAAATACATTTGAAAGGATTTTTAAAGAATCTAAATTAAAATAAATAAAAAATCAAGAAAATTAAATAAGTGATAAAATATTATTTGAAAAATGGAAAGTAAAAAGAATAAAATATAAATTAAATTAAAAAAAAAAAAATTATAAATAATATATAAATATATATAATAATAATTTATATAAATTAAAATTAAATAAAAAAAATATAAAAATAAATATATATATAAATATATATATATATATATACATATATATATATATATATTTTTATATATATGTATTTTATTATTTTTTAATATATATCTTTTTTTTTATATTTTTGCGAATATTCTAATTTTTATATATAATAGAAATAAAAAGAAATAAAATAAGAATAAGAATTACAAGAAAAAAAAATGAGAGAATTAAAAGAATTAGAAAAAATGTAAGAAAGATATTAAAAATAATTACTTCTTAATGAAGTTGCAGAAAAAGAAAGAGAACAAATATTAGAAAAAGAAACTTAGAAAAAAAAAAAAGGATAAAAGTAAAAAACAATATATTCATTAATAAATGTTAAATATTTTATTATAGATATATATATTAAATTTATTTTAAATATAGTTATATATTTATAATTATATATATATATTTATAATATAATTTCAATAATTATATATTTATATATATATATATATTTATAATTTTTAATTTTTAATTTTATTTATAATATTTTTTTATTTATATAAATAGATCATAAAATGATAATAATGGAAAATCTAAAAAAAATAGAAAAAGAAGAAAAGATGGTGATGAAAACGATGAAGCAAATTTTATTGATGATGACGATGATATTTTAGATAATTTAGATGATATTGAAATCAGTAATTTAAGTGAATTTAAAAGTAATGAAGAATAAGTATTTCATGAATATGACGAAGACGGTTAATAATAATAATAATAATAATTAGATAATAAATAAGATAAAAAATTCATTGAACCTCCCTTAAAAAAAAAAAAAACTTACTCAGAAATATGGATAATAAACTCTCTTCTGGAGATGAACTTTTTATGGATGATTTTTGTGAACAATAATAATAAAATGATGATGTTGATAATTTTGGTTATGTTAACTAAAATTTAGATTAAAAATTAAAATAAAAAGTTATTGATGATGATGAAGATGAAGATATTGATAATATATTTTAGGAAGATGAAGAATGATTTTTATGATATAAAATATATATTTAAAAAATATATATATAAATATATATATTTAAAATAATTAAAAATTATATTATTTTATTAATTTGTTTTTTTATTTTATTTTTTCATAATAAAGTTTAAAAGTTTATATTTTATAAAAATAAAATAAATTTATATATTTTTTTTCTTTTTTTTCTTTTTTTAAATTTTTGCTATTTTTCAAAAATATCACATACATAAATAAATTAAAACAATAAATAATGTATTAAAAAACTTTTTTAATTTTAGATTTTTTATAAAAAAAACAAACTTTTTTATTAAAAATAATTTTTTTTAATTTGTTTTATATAATATCTAATTAATATTTTAAAAAAATATTAGTTTATAATGTAAACTATATAAACTAAATAAACAAAAATTTTAAACTTTATTTGTTTGAATATAATAAATTTAGTATCTATTATTTCAAATAATATTTGATAAATAAACTTCAATCCTTTTTATTTTTTAAATAATGAAATTATCATTTAAATAATTTAATAAAAATAAATCAAATGAATAGATCTAGAATTATTAAAAGAATTATCACTAATCATTACCATAAAATTTAAAATTACATTATGAAACAAATTATATAAAAAATATAATTCATATTAAAAAATCAATAATTTATATATATATTTATCAGAATGAATTTTTACTTAACAAAAAATATATTTATCAAATATAATGTAAATTTTATATTAATATTTTAAAGTTATAAATAATTTATATTAAAAAAAATTTTATATATTAAATATCTAAATTAATAAAATAAAATTTTATATTATTTGAATTTATAATAAAAAAAATTAATAATATATAAATAATAAAATATTTATATAATAATAAAAAATAATAGTTATTAATTAAAAAATGAAAAACCATTAAAAATGAATTTAGTATATAAATAAAAAATATAAATATTTATATAATAAAAAATAAAATGTATATAAAAAAATTATTTAATAAAAAAAAATAAAAAAAAATATGATAAAATAAATAAATTGAAAGTTTTATATCTAAAAAAAAAAAAAAATTATTGAAAAATAAAAAAAGAGAGTATAAAATCATAATAAAACAAAAATATAATTAAAAATATATAATTTATATAAATATTAATTATATATATATATTTATATTTATATATATATATATATATATATATTACATAATAAAATATATTTATATTTAATATTTTAAATAAAATTTCTTCTATATTTTTTAAATTCTATAACAAAAAGATATTTTTTTTTTATTTAATATTATTTTTAATATTAATATTTCTAAATAAAATATCATATTAATATTTTTTTTTTTTAATTATTAATTTTTTAATTTTACTTTTTTTTTTATTTTAATATATATTTTTAATTTTCAATTATCAATTATTAATAATTATTAAAATTATAAATAATTTTATTATAAATTATAAATAAAAAAATATACTATTTATATTAATAATTTAACATAATTATTATGTAATATTTTTTAATTATAATTAATTTTTTATATATTAATTAATATTATTAACAATAAAAAAAAATTCTTTTATAAATAAATAATTTAAAATATAACAATATATATTAAACTTTTTTTTTTTATAAATACTAAATATCACTATTTAATAATTTTTTTTTTTCTTTATAAAATATAAAATTCTAAAATAAATAAAATAAAAAAATATATTAATATGTTAAAAAAAAAACACAATTACTTAAAATTAATTAAGTTATAAAAATAAAAATTAAATAAAATGTAATCATTTTTAGAAGAAGTTGATATTGATAATGAAAAGCTTTCAAAAATCGATAAAATGCTTTCAAAAGTAGATACAGAAATATAAAAACGTTTAAAAGATTATGATAAAATTCAATTTATAGAAACTTTAAAAAAAGTAATAGAAAACTTATTAACATATATATTTATTAATAATAAATAGACAAATGATATCTATTAATTAATTGTTGGTGAAGTACATTTACAATTAATAGAATTAAAATTAGAGAAATTTGGGAGTATTATATAGAAAATATTTACAGGTGAGACTGCATTAATGAGTATTTTATTAAATATTAAAACCAATATAGAATTTAATCCAAATTAATTACTTGAAGAACTTGAGAATTTATCTAAAAAAAAAGAAATAAAACAAATTCAAAATAAATTAATAATTAAGAAACAGAAATAGAAACAGATCGTAAAAAAATGATTAACAAATAATAAAAATAACCGTTATAATTCAGATATAACTAAAATATAATCCAAAAAGTAAAAATAAAAAAAAATATAAAACATAAAAATATTAAAGGTTTTTACAGACAAAGAAACTGATACAGAATTAGATAAAAAAGATGCAAGAAGATTATCTAATATATAATTAAAAATAACTGAAATAGATTAAGTAAAAAAAGAAATAGAAGAAACAGGAAATGAACTTGATAATTTTCTATAAAATAGAAATTTAAATATTTTCGACGTAGAAAAATCTAAAGCAGAAATAACATTGAAGAAAATGCTAAAAGATCTTTCCATAAAAAAAAGAAAAGCTGAATAAAGTAAAAATAATATATACATATATATAAATATATATATATTTTTATATTTATATTTATATTTATATTTTTATGTATATATTTATTTTTTATTTTATTAATAAAGGCGAACTTTCAGCTAAAAATCTTTTAGGCTTATAAAATTTAGATGAAGATACTTATAATAATGAATTATAAAATAATAATGCTGCTTTTATTTTTAAAAATTAATAAAATTTAATATAGAATTAAAAATAAATAATTTAAAAAGAAACAATTGGAATATAAGTAAATTATTATATTATTAGTATTAAAAAATTAATTTTAACATTAAAATCATATACATATATATAATTATAAAAGACAGAATAAATTTTTGATAGAAATGAATTAAATGCTTAAGAAAAATTAAAACTTTAAAATAAAAAATTAATTGATTTAGAAAAAAAACTAAAGATTTATAAAGAGATTTAGATATTTTTAAAGATTAAAACAAAAAACTGAACGATATTATAACTTAAACAACTTTATTGTAAAAAAAGAGAGAAGAAGATTCTAAAAAAGATAAAAAATTAGTCTTAAATGACAAAGAAAAAGATAAATTTAAACATATAATAGAAGATAATATAAGGTAAAAAAGAAAATATAAATAAAAAATATTTATTAATAAAAATAATAAAATATATAAATAATTTATAACAAATACGCTAATAACATAATTAAAATTCTAAACATTTTAAAAATATATAAAAAAAATAATATAAATAAAGAATGAAATTAAAAATGCGTGAATTAATAGACGAATTAAAAATAATAGAAACGGAAAATCTAAATAATATAAAAAGATTTAAAAACTTTATTATGAATAGTAATTTAACCGACGACTAAAAAAAGCTTATAATAGGAAAAATAGACGATTTTTTTTTATTAGATATATAAAAAAGATTAAATATTCGTGAACTAGAACATATGAGTAAAATAGATAATGAATATTTGAAAGATAACTTAATAAAATAAATAATTGGAGACTCTTTTTCCTTTGTAAAAAAAATTAAATAAAATGAAAAACTCAAAAAAATGATAAGAGAAAATCCTAATTATGATCCTGATTTTGACCCCAATTTATTGGATGAAGGATAAAAAATTATAACAAGGAGAGTCAAAAAAATGGTACGAAAATAAAACTCAAAAGGAGAGTGGATAGAAGAAGTTATTAATATATATTTTTATATAATATCTATTTATAATTTATACAGGAAATTGAAGTAGATGAAGAATGTGTAGTTGATAAAGATGGAAATATACTTCGGACAAGAGAAAAACCTAAAGAAGGATTATATACAGACCCTTCAATAATTGCTTTTGTAAATTAATTTGGTGGCTTGGCTGTTGGTGGGAGTAAATTTATCATTCCATAAAAACCTGGAAGACCAGTGGCTAAAGATGGGTAAAATATTAAAGAAGGGGAATGGTTTACAGATTAAAATGGAAACAAAGTAAGAATGATGAAAAATGCAAAAGGAGAGGAAGAATATGAAGTTTAGGAAGGTTAATTTTTATTTTTATAAATAAATAAAAATTTAAAATAATATTAAATAGAGTATATAGATGAATTTGGAAATAAATAAAAAATAACAAAAAAAATGATTATTTAGAAAGATAAAGATGGAAATGAAATAATAACAGTATAATAAAATTAAAATAAATTATTATATAATATATATAGGAATCTTATATAGATCCAAAAACAGGAAAATTAATTTAAGTCTAAAAAAAAGTTATTAAAGATAAAAATGGAAATGTAAAAATAAATTATTAAAAAAAAAATATAAATACAAAGGAAATAATAGAAGAAATAATAACTGATGAAAATGGTAAAAAATAACAAAGAGAATAAAAGTGTAAAAAGATAAAGATGGTAATTTATAAATATAAATATAAATATAAATTAGATAAATATATAAATATATATATATATATATTATTTATATATATATATTTTTATATATATATAAAGGAAATGATATTGTAGAAGAAGAAATAATTGATGAATTTGGAAATAAAACTATAGTTAGAAAAAAAAAAATTAAAGATGCAAATGGTAATGATGTTTATATAATAGAAACAATAAATTCAGATGGTACAAAAACAATAGTAACTGAAAAAATAGGTTTAAATGGTGAAAGGATTATAACTGAAGAAAAAATATCTAAAAATGGTAAAAGAACATTTGTCGAAAAAGTTATAAAATTAGATTCTGATGGAAAGCCAGTAATTGAAGAATCTTCATATGATGAACATGGAAATAAAATTGTCAAAAATATCAGAAACATAATTGATAAAGACGGTAATATTGTTTAAGTAGAAGAATATTTAGATGAAAATGGCAACAAAATAACTAAAAAAACTAAAGTTATAACAGATAAGGAAGGAAATAAAGTAACAGTCGAAGAATTAATAGATTCAAACGGCAATAAAATAACAAAATTAACTAAATAAATAGTAGATTAAAATGGAAATATAATAACAATAGAAGAAATTATTGATGAATATGGAAACAAAATAACTAAAGTAAAATATATATATATATATATATATAAATATATATATATATATATATATATATATAAATATATATATAAAAAAAGTAAACAAAATCAAGAATTGATAAAAACGGTAATTAAATAATTGAAGAAGAAATTATAGACGCAGATGGAAATAAAATAAAAATTAAAAAAACTATTAATAAAGATGGAACTGTAGAAGAAGAAAGATATAACCCAATTACTGGAGAAACAATTATAATTAAAAAAAAGTTTGATTAAAGTGGGTTCACAAAAATATTATATTATAAATAAATATTTTACAAAAAAAAAAAGACGAGAAATAATAGAAGAAACACGAATAGATAAAAACGGAAATAAAACTACAACTACTAAGGTTATTAGTTTAGATAAAAATGGAAATTAAATCATTGAAGAAAGTTATATAGATCCAAAAACAGGTAAAAAAATCACTGTCAAGAAAAAAATTTGCAAAGATAATGACGGAAATGTAAAAAATATATACATATATTTAAATATATATAAATAAAAAAATATAAATATATGCATATATATATATATATATATATATATATATATATATATATATATTGAATTTATAAAAAAAATTTATAAATAAACATATATATTATATCATAAACATATATATATAAACTTATATATAAATAATAAAAATATATATATAAACATATATAATAAATTTATATTTCATTAATTTTAAAATATCTATATATATATCAATATATATATATCAATATATATTTTTTAAATATATTTATATTTTTATAATCTATTATATCATTAATATTTATATTTTTATATTTATTTATTTTATTTTAGGAAATAGTAGAAGAAACTAGAATAGATGAAAATGGTAATGTTACAATTGTAAAGAAAAAAAATTATAAGGATAAAGATGGAAATAAAATTATAGAAGAGGAAATAATAGGATCAGATGGAAAAAAATATACAGTTAAAACAAAAATTTACAAAGATAAAGACGGAAATGAAATAATAGAGGAAGAAAAAATAGATGAATTTGGTAAAAATTAGAATTAAATAATAAATTTAAATATTTTTATATTTAAATATAGGAAACAAAATTATTACTAAAAGAATAAAGGATAAAGACGGAAAAGAAATTATAGAAGAAATTAAAATTGATAAAAACGGGCAAAAAACTAAGTATAAATATTATTATATATATAAATATAAATATAAATATAAATATATATAATGTATATATATATAAATATATTTATATTCATTTTAATATTTTGTAAGTTAAACATAAAATTATACATAAAAATGGGGATGTTGAAGAAACCTTTATAGACTAAAACGGCTAAGTGTTTAAGAAAAAATATAAATTAGGCCAATTAGATAAATAGACACAGACTGAAATCGGTTCTAATGATCTTGAGAATATTCTTATTGTATTAGGAATGGAAAAATCTTAAGCCTAAAAGTTAGCTTAAGCTATAATGAATTATATAAATAATGGAGAATGGAATAATATAGAGGAATTTTTCAAAAAATAAATTAGAAAAAATTAACAAGAGTCTTTAAAATAAAAAAGATAACGAGAAATTGAAGAAATAAGAAAACATAGAGAAACTGAAAGATAATAAAGAGCTATTGATTTATAAAATTTAACTTAAAATAAAAAAAAAGAAGAAATTGACGATTTAGAGATTTTAGATGAAGAAGGAAAAACAGAAAATGAGTAAATGGAATAAATTTTCAAAAAACTTCTTTAAAACAAAAACGAAATGGGTGAAATCTTTAAAAATATAAGAAATTAAATACGTAAAAATGGTGACTAGGATGTTAATTTTGAAGATTTTAAGTAATATTTCGAAAAATATAAATATATTCATTCTAAATGTGGAGAAAATTGCCCTCATTTAAAACGTTTTTACGCTAGATTAGGGTTAATTTAAGCAAAATATAAAAGAAAAATACTTAAAATGAAAGATGCTACCATATCCGTTTACGATAAAAATGACAAACTGCCTATTATTAATAACTCATGTACATATTATATTTATATATATATATATATATTTTAAAATAAAATTTTATATTTTTATATATATATATATAATTTATATATATATATTTATTAATTAATTAATTTTTAAATATATTATATTTAGAATAATTAAGAAAAAATTTAAGTACAAATTATAGTTTAGTCAAATCAGAACCAATTGGCGCTTTTAATGAAAGTATTTATAATTATTCTCGATTTAGATAAAATACAAATAATGACGATAATTATTAAAATTTATAAAAAATTAAGATGAATAAAATGAAGATAATATAAAAAGTGTATTACAATTAGATGATAATATTAGTATTTATGATAATAATTGATTATTAAAAATAAAAGTTTTTTATAAAAAAATATATATTTCAAGAATTTTTTTTGGAATATTATATTAATAAATATTTTTATAAAATAAAAAAAATATTTTTTGTCAAATATCTATAAATATAATATTAATTTTAAACAATATTAAATTTTATTTAAAATTATAAATTTATAGAATATTTTCCTTATTTTTAGCAAATTAAACAATTGTGTAATAATTAATATAACAAAATCGGCTTATTTGCTTAATATTAATTTAATTATTAATATATAAATTACATATATATATATATATATATATATATATATATATATATATATTTAAAATAATTATATTATATTTTTATATTTATAAAATTTTTATTTTTAATAAAATTTTTTATATTTATATTTGTATAATAAAACTCACATTTTGAATTATATATATATATTTTCTAATAAATAATTTTTTTATGGGTTTAATATAAGTTTTTTTTATATAATTTATTAATTAAAAATAATAAAAAAATAAAAAAAATATTATATATAAACTTTTTATAATAATTTAGTTAAATTAAATTTATATTTTAAAAATAGTTTAATAAATTATAAATTTTTATAATAATAACTATATAAAATTTTATTAAAAATATATTGACAATAGAATTAATAAAATAATGTATGTAAATATATAATTTAAAAATTATAAAAAAAATTTTTTAGTTTAAATTTATATTTAGTTGATCATAATATAAATATAAATATCATAAAAATTATATAGTAATTTAAATAATTTATTATATAAATAAACATATATATATTTAATATAATTAATTATTAAAAAGTATATATATATATTAACATATATTTATTTTAATAATTTTTTATCTGTAAAAAAAATTAATTTATTAAAATTATTATAATATATATATTAATTAAATTTAAAAAAAATGGATGAAATAAATAAATTAAAAATAAAAATATTATTAATAGGAGATGCAGGTGTTGGAAAAACTGCATTATTATAAAAATACATAAATAACTAATTTCCAGAATATTACAATTAAACATTAGGTTGCGAATTTCATAATAAAGTTATTTAATAAATTATATAAATATAATTATATATATAAATATATATATATATTTATATTTATATTTATTTATTTCCATATATTTTTATATATATTTTATTTATCAATTTTTTTTTAAAGTAAATATAATTAAATGAAAATACTGTTGCTTCCTTAAATTTATGGGATTGTGGAAGTAAATTAATTTAAAATTACCATACAATTAACATATATTATAAGGTGATAGTTTGAAATCAAAAATGCTAAAATCTTATGTATTTGGTTCAGATGCTGTATATATATATATTTTTTAATTTTTTATTTATTTTTTTAGGTTTTTTTTGTTTTTGATATAACTAATAGAAACAGTTTTTAATAACTCTAAGAAATAATTTTTCTGTATAAAATCTGCTTTAAAGTAAAAAAGTTGCCTACGCATTAATTGGTAATAAAAATGATTTAATACATTAAAGATCTATAGAAGAAATAGAAGCCATATAAGTTAAAATATATAAAATACTTAATTTATTTTATATTTTATAAAAAATGAAAAGCTTGCTTAATCTTTTAATTTTAGTTTTTAATCAGTTTCTGCCAAAAACAGTCTTAATTTAAATGAAAGTTTTAAAAGAGTTGTTTGCGAAATCGCTGGTATTCCTATTTAAAATGAAAATAAAGTAATATTCTCACTTTTTATATATAGCATTTAATTATAAAAAAGAATATCAAATAAGGTGAAAATGATTTAAAGGATCTTTAAGAAAATACAAAAATTATATAAAGTTAAATAAAAAATACAAATAAATGTCAAATATTCTAGAAAAAAAAAAAAAAAAATATTTATAAAAAAAACA